ACTCACCCATATGCCGATGGAGGATCAGGTGAAGTTTTAGAGTCCTTACAACACATGCGTTGATCCAAGAGGAGAGGAGGTAGCAACACAACTCCACCTAATGGAGGCTTAAGGCGCCCCAGATTCAAACGTCCAAAAACACATAATTGAAACCACAAAATATCTCCATAATGCTCGTCCGTACTGATCTAAGTGTCCTGAAGCCCCGACATAAAAAGTTGTTTGGAAAAATGTCATTTGAATTCTGTTTTTAGCCTCATTGCAGCCTGTAGCTCTATCTGCCTCTCTGGGCATCGTGTTCACGTGTGCGCGCTTGCGCGAGACCAGCGAAAGCACGTGAACACACATGAATGCAATGCCCATGTCTCACGGTTTTGTGCATGGGTGGATGGACTATGTTAGCACCACAAGCCGTGCTAACGCTGATAACAGTGCTAACAGAGCTAGCAGTGATAACTCACAATGCTAAAGGGGTTTTGCAGCTCAAAACTGAGCTGCTTACTCACCCGGTTGACATGATGGGACACCGGAGGGCACAGTCCACAGCAACACTGCCGGGGCAGGATGGCGTCACAAGCATTAACTGCTAAATGAGCAGCACTGCTTCCACCAGACCTAGTTGGTGTGCACTGCAGTAAACTTAAGTGCAAAATTAAGCTATTGACGGACATGCGTAACCGGTCAAAAGTATTCTTGGCAGTTAGCTAATTTACAGTTATGTGTGAAATCACTTGTCACAAAATAACATAAACTAACTAACCAATCAAGGCAGCAGTAGACCAGCAACTCGTGTGTTCTGCGAGGTAAAATTACTGTGTTGTCAAGGGAGTTTTGTGGCTTTGAAGAAAGATGTAGATAATGGCTTCAGTTCCCCGTTGGGAAGGGCTGTCTGACAGCAAGGTAAAGAGGTGAAAATACTCTAAATATAGTGTACACATAAACTGATAGTGATTCAAAATAGGTGTTCCCCATCCACAGTAGTACACTGCTTAGCTTCTGTGGAGGCTTCTCCAAACTGGGTGTGTGCTGACTGCCATCTACTGTAAGTAATACACTGACTATGGATAAATACCTCGCACAACCCCACTTCAAAAAACCCGAACTACCCCTCTGAGCAATCATGTTGTGTGATTAATATAAATGGTGCATCCAACTGGCTGAGGTTAGCTAAACTATTGTCAGGCTTTATATTTGTTGAAGACGCATAAGAGGCATAAATTTTCAGGGATCAGATGCTGCAAAGGTTTTAATGAATTCGGCACAGTCTGGTATGCATGGTTTCTCCTATATAGGCATGTTATGTGAGAAAAATAGAGACATTTTCAAAGGACATAATGAGATTTACATATAATTTACATATGACAGCAGGCGCAAACAGGCTTTGGTTACAGCATTTTACTGATGAGATTCATGTCTTCTTTGCTCTGTAAACCTTAACTGACTCTGTGTATCATGTTCCATGAAATCATAGTTTGTGTAAGGTTCAGAAGTTGTGACAAATAGTTGAATTAATGGCCAATAGATCATTTACTATCATTTACAGGCTTTGTAAATTCATTATGAACCATCAATAAGAACTTTAGATGAACAAGGGCATGGGGTCTTTGAGAATGCCTCAAAGAGCAGAGTCTTATTGCAAAATCTAACTGTAACTGATCTTAATGTTTATAATTGTTTTAAGCCACAGAAACATTACCTGAAAGCTATTTTAAGTGGAAATAGAAAAAAAATAAGTCTGCAATTAGATACACTGAAGAAAATAGGTGTGTTCCCAAGCAGAAATACTGCAAAAGACGTTTACAAGTAAACACACTGAATAAAGGAATCTGTTTTCTTGGCAGCAGAAACTGGTTTGTATTTTTGAACTATGAAAGAATTGAAGTTTCCCAGCGGAGTTAATTTAGTTCACTATGACTTGTCATTCAGTGACATTTGTGGGAAAACACATTTGTGCTTGTTTTAACCATATTTTTAATTACTATGATCAAGTGTTTTTCAAGGGCACCGTTGCCATGACTGATGCTGTTTCTGAAATGCATCTCGATATGAAAAAGCCCAGCAGCTGCACTGTTTTTATGATCACACTCAATCACTATCTGATGACTTATTGAGGATTTGCTGTTGGTGGCATTGTGTTTTGTTTTGGGCGACGAAATTAAAACTTAATTCAGAGAGCAGAGAGATTTCAGATGAAAGTGCTGGCAAAAAAACAAACAGAACGAGCCGCAGAGAAAAGGCGATAGTTGTGATTAATTGTGCGTAAATTTCCTTCCGTCAATTCTGGGGAGCGCCTCTGACAGATGAATAATGTGCGATGTTCACAGCTTAATTATATATAGAGCATTAAGATCTGGCTGCCAGCGTGATCCAGAGGGAGTGAAATATGTTCTTAACCACAGCTGCCCTGCTCCCATTCAATCTGATTTCTGTCATAAAAAATTCTATATATAACATGTTAAATTAGTCTGCAAGATATGAACATGTTTCTGGATATCTGCATGTGGTATACATTTAATTAAAAGGCCAGTGTGTAATATTTGGCATGGTTTATTGTCAATCTGAATCTGAATCTGAATATTCTACCCATTAATATGTTTATACAAGTGTATAATCGCTATAAAATAAAATTCGTTTGGTTTTCGTAGCCTTATAATTATGCTTTTATATATATATATATAGCAAGGGCCTTGCTTTAGAGAGGTCGCCATCTTGCGCCGCCATGTATGTACGGCAGACCGAGCGGACAATCCAGCCAGCCAGAGAACGCGTTTCGCATGTATAAATAAACCAACGAAGACAGCGGAAGGAAGGAAGAAGGAGGAAGAAACAGCAGAGAGTGTTAGTAGTTCGTCGATAGAGAGTAGTGAAAAGTTTTTTTAGTTATAAAGTTTGCAAATGGACCACACTTACCACGCAACAGGAGAGAAAGAACCCGAACCGTCATCTGCGAGGAAAAGAAGACGCAACTTCACTCCTTGTGATGCACTCTCTGCGGCGCTTTTCCTCCTGATGATATATCTCCCCAACAATGGTAGCAGTAGCACCGAATCCCATTCTGTGCATTCAGCCTCTCTTCTCACCCGCTCAGCATCAAACACATGGAGTTCCTCATCCGTATGCTCCGGCTCAAACAGGTATGGCTCTGGGTCTGTGTCCGCTACAAGAAACTCTTCAAAATCACGTTCAAAGTCGTCCATTGCAGCTCCTATAGTCCGGAGATATTGCTAGGCTAAATAAACAGCTGAGCACTGTTTACCGGCTACACTGTCAGTCAGTGTGCGGGCTGGAGATTGAGCAGAGAGCGGAGGGGGGTCCCCACTCGGAATGGTAAACGAGTATGTATGTAAAGTTATGAAGTGTGTCTGTTACGCCAGAAGAGTCAGAGTTTGGGACGGAGTGGAGTGTTACCGGAGTTTCTGGAGTGCTCAAATAAACGGGCCTTTTTTCCGAACGCTCCTCTGGTCTCCTGCTCGTGAGGGATTCATTACAATATTTTTAGCAGATTAAAAGTATGTTAGAAATCTTGGACTTATTTGATGCAAATTGCACCAAACCTCACACACAGACCTTATGCACACATCAGTGGACTTTTATAGGATACCAGTCTCTAAAATCTAAAATCTCTAAAGTCTGCATGGAAATTATTTACTTTTTTAAACGTGTTGCTTGAAAATATACTGCAACTATTTTTTTAAATATAGAGATAAACATATGAATTGGCAAGAGGGACTAACAGTTAAAAAGTATTATGATAATTATGAGCTGCAGACCCCTGTTTGAGATCAACAATCAAAACCAGTTGATTTCTAGCGTGTTATCACTAGCATGTTTTTAATTTAGGGATTTGTCGCTGTCTTTCCATTGGGGATAGTGCCACAAAATATGGTTGATTTTTACCAAGGCATTGCTGTATTTCCTGCCACGAAAGTGCCATGAAAGGCAGCTGCTTTCTACCACAACATTGCTGCTTTCACTGCCGAGATAGTGCCACAAAAAGCAGGTGTTTTTTTTACTGAGATATCACTGCATTTCCAGCCATGAAAGTACCACAAAAAAGGAGTTTTCTGTTAAAGAGACATTGATGCATTTCCTACCGAGATAGCGCCACAAAAAGTGTCTGTTTTCTACCAAGGTGTCACTGCTTCTCCTGCAGGAATAGTGCACTGTAAAATGTTTTTCTTCTACAAAGACCGCAAAAGTGCCACAATCAAACAAAGTGATTGTTATTAACTAAAACATCGCTGCATTTCTAGCTGTTTTTTAGCCCCCAAAACCCAGGAATTTTAAGCCTAAACATGATCTTTTCCAAACCATAACCAAGTGGTTTACATGCCTAAGTCCAAACCCATATTAACCACAGCTTTGCCAAAATGTTAAGTTTCAATATCTCTGTTATATAATGATGTAGAAATGTAAGCATCCAAGGTTTTCGGAAATGTACAATATCATTATTTATTCTGACAATTCAATTGAAAAATGAAGCCAAAGGTGCTCAAAACTGTAGTTCCTCTTATGGCCACTTGAGGCTAGCTCCCAAAGTGAGTCAATCCCCATAAAGCCCCGTGTTAAAATGCATATTTACAGCAGAAATAAACATGTTTACAGCCTGATACAAAAAAAAAAAAAAAGACATGAAGCTAGAGGCCACCGGACTAGTTCTAGGTTCAGAGGAGTGGTATGTCAAACTAAATGGTAGACCAGAGACAAAGGATAAAGTAATAACAAGCCGGAAGATTTATTGGACAGTGCTGATCAGGCACACACACACAAGACATAAAATATACACAAGTAAAGGTAAGCAAAGTATCCCTTTAAGGTTAATTATTAACCCTCTCTTTAATTTAGAATAGTTTGATGTAGGTTTCTAGGTTGATTTAACCGATTTTAGTTAATTTAGTTCAGATGTCTGATTATCACTAGCAGGCAGATAGATTTAAGGTTAGATCTATTTGTTTTATCTATTTGAGTTAACTCTTAGTTTTCTTTCTTTTACAGATGCAGACTGGTAAGTATGATTAAACCTCTTTCTTTTACAGGTAGAAGGAAAGAGGTATATATTTTTTCCGTTTCAGGTTACTAGGTAAGTATTTTTGACTTTAACCTTATCAAACTGTTCAAATACCTTATTTAGGTTAAATGACTTCTTAACACTTGTTTCTATTTTGCAGGTTGAAACAACAAGCAAGAATCACCAATCAAATACACCAATAATATCAACTTAAACCATGCAGAGTACATCAGACAAAATAAAAGAATACAAAACTGTAAATATGGAAGAGTCATCTGGTTTAAGTTCAGTAACACTTCAGTTCAGCTTCTCACTGGGAGTGAAAAATCCACAATCCTACCAGAATGATGCAACGGTCGGGTAGGTCAAACCAGTAACTGGGGTGTTTATTCAATAGTTGAAGGTAAGATGTCCGTGGGTAAGGCTCGCCATCCAGTGTCACGGGCACACATTTGAAGAATGTTGTCCGTCCTGGGTCCTGGGAACACTCCCGGGGGAGAAAACCTGGCCTGCACACAGGCCATGCTTAAAATAAAGTATCTTTTATAAACCAGGGCTGCCAACTTTTCAAAAAACCTTAGAGTGAGATTTGGTGGGGCCAACCGAAATTTTGCCACATACACTGCAATTTTTTGTATGGCCCATTCAGAGTCATTACCATACAGCAAAAACTTCTTTTTTTAAAAAAAAAAAAAAAAAAAACATTTTCCATACATCAGTAGTTCTCAATGTATTAGCCTAACTCAGAGGGGGAGGTGTTGACAGATGCAGCTTGGCGCAGTGACAGTTTCATGCCAAAAGGCTTCGCTGAAGGTGCGCTAAAAGCTCGCCAGCTGAAACCAGGTCTACTGTCAGCGCAGGCGGAGCGCAGCCGGTGTAAGCCAAAGTTTGGCTGACCGGCGGACAGTGCGCACACGTCACCAAAACCTCACAGGCAGGTTTCCAGAATGTCAGGCACATTAACGATGCAATAAATACCCAAAAAACCACTATTCAATGCAACTATCTGCAATCAGCACATAAATGTATCTCTATGTCGACTGTCCCGTCACATCTGATGTCAGATCAAAGGGGATTGGCACCGTTTGGCACGTTTGGCACGCGTAATGGAAACCCAACCTGATTTGATTAACACAGCTGCAAACTAATGAGTTCACATCCCTCTCAGCCAACCACAAACAGCCACAGCATCAGATAGGGAGTATATATTCAGCATCTGTCATCTTAGAAAAGTCAAAAGAAAAGAAACAGAGTGAGACTGCGAGAGAGAAAGAGAGAGCGCGCGCGCACGAGAGAAACGCAACATTGATTTACAATTGTGGTGACCTCCTCCCAGGCTACCTTTGCATCATCAGCCCGTGGAGGTCTGCTCGCAGTTCCGTATATTCGGACACTGCGAGCTTGGACCTCCCGGACCAAAACATCAGTTTCCTCCTGGGAGAAGTTTGGCCGTCTGACGCTGCTGCTCTCTTCTGCCATGGCGAATTGAGTAAACTCTCATTACGCCTTCGCGCGGCGCATTTAAGGGCGAGGAGAGGGGCTCATTTGATTGGTGTGATGTGTGTAAAACCCACTCCACGCCTTCTCTCCTCTCTCTTTCCGACTTGCGCAGGTAGGAGGGACGGAGGTGGGAAAGAGGAGTAGCTGCACCAGCACACATGGTGTGCCAAACTTGCAAAATTGGCTTGGCCACACTCCGCCTCGCCCGGTCTGCGAAATTAGAGGCCTTAAAGTTACACATAATTAAGAGTATGGATGCTTCAAGTGGCAGGCTGTCTATGAGGCGTTGCTAAAGTCTATGAGTCGGATCAACCCCTTGCTTCTTCACAGCTCCACCTTCTCATCCAATGATGTTCACTTCTGGCTCCAGAAAAAAACATGTTTGGACAACCAAAATGCCAAACTCAAGGCTCTAAATCAGGAGTCCACCACCCAATGGGTCACATCATGTGGCTACGACCATTATTTTCATACTAGTCTATGCTTTTGACATCAAACACCTTCTGCTGATGAGAGACAGCTTAAACTCTCAAATCAGTAAAATATCAGAATATGGATGACACAGCTAATGTACTCAAACAAACCATATGTTGATGAGACAATCCCTGCCTGCTAGTGGTAAAGCGTGAGTCTTGTTTATGCAGGGGCATCATGCTACTTTGAGTGATCTAATAATAAAAAAAAAAAAAAAATTAAAAAAGCCCATTTCTCCTTGTGAAGGAACGTCAGGCCTGCTTACTGTCATTTAGAATGACCTTGTCACTCGCACTTGGCAGATCTTTGAATTACATCCCACAGCTCCCCCTAATGCTATCATTACCATTATTAATGGGACATGACACAAGTCATTGCCACACATAACACTCTCCCACAACTGAGGAGTAATGGCTTTCCTCTGATGTAATGCTGGCGGTTTCTTAGTAAGTGTGTCAGGAAGTCAAATATTGAGAGTGCAATACTCATGCTGCAGACTTAATGCAAGTGTGGTGCAGGGGACTTCTCACACAAGGCAATAAAATCCAATTTCATCTGTGGGTGTGTGGCTGTGAATTAAATGCCCCCATCTGTAATTTGTTTCAAACATATCGGCTTTACCAATATTATCTGGACACTGATTGAATAGGTGCCGCAGTCCGCCATCCTGAAATTCATCTGCTGGTGTACTGTCGGCAGTGCCGTGGTCAATATCTCTGTGGGGCATGTTTTGTCTGACTGTAAATCATTCCTGATTACATGTAAATTATGCATCAGATCCAATATTAAATTGCTCTTTATACATGAAGTGGAATTTTTCATAAAAACCAATACCTGAAACGATACTTTGAACACTTCACTGTGGCTGCTTGTGTGCAGTTTTGTCCTCTGTGTTACTCTCCCGCTTATAATTTTCCCTTTTTTCCAACATATTGAATATGTAAATAGGCTGAATTACAAAAAGGGCTGTAATCCTGATGTCTATTAATATATCTGCAGATTTCAGAGAAACATTTTAACTGCATAAAGTAGTGAAAAAGTTTAGTATTTCAAAATAATTTCAATAATTTACTGTTATGATTGTTACCTAGCAACTACATAGTTAGAAATTGCCTACATTAAGTGCAGTTTCTTGGCCTTTTATAAAACATGTTTTACATAAAATGGATTCCAGGATTGTTATTGCATGCACTCTAGCTCTCAACATCTTTTCACATCTAAAAGGATGCGTCAACACTTTTCTTATTTTTAGCTATTTTATTTTTTTCTTATTTGTAGCTACATAAAAGTAGGGGTGAGTCACATTAAATACAATAGCACAAACTACATAAATGAAGATCAAGGATTTCTTTTTTTTTTTTTTAATAAATTTGTATGATGTGGAGCTCAAATCCTCACGGTTGTCTGTATCTATCTGTTCTCCATCTATCTTGTGGACTTTGATTCTGAGTTTTTCTGTTTGTGTTCCTTGTTTAATGTTGTTTAGCTCATATTTAATCTGCTTTCTGTTTTATTTTGTAGGTTCTCTCCTCATGTGTCATGTCTGGTTTAACTTCCTGTCTTTGTGTGCTTTCCCGCCTGTTTGCTGCCACACCTGTCTCGTTAAGTCTTGCCTGTTTCCTGAGTCTTCCCTTCACACCTGTTTTGTATTAGTCTTGTCTGCTCCACCCTTGTTGTCAGCCAATCCCTGTTTCACTCCTTTTGCCCAAGTCTTCCTTCTCCAGCTGTGTCTCGTCCTTGTGATTAGTCTGCAGTGTATATATACCTGTGTGTTTCCCTTTCTCCTTTTTCAGTCTGTCTGCATACTTTCAGTGTTCATCATTCCTGCCATCATCCTGCATCCATCCCACATCTTCATGTCTTTTTTTTCTGGTTGTTTTTTTGTTGTTTTGGATTTTGTTTCTGTTTGTTGCCTGCCTTTTTTGGAAAACCTTTAACAGCTATGTTAAAGCTCGTCTTTTGTTGAAAACTGCAAACCTGTCTGTTTGATCTGCTTTTGGGTCCTCTCCTGAACTGAAAACATAACACTTTTCTATTGTCACTCTTGGCTGCGCCGAGTAAAGCCATGCCACACCGACTTGTGTTTCCATTGTCAGTTTAAACACGCCATACCATGCCAAGCTGTGCTAGAGATAGACCTTCTCAGAAGTAGGTCCAAAAGTTGGGCTGCATGCCCTCAAGCGGGTAGTTGTCCATGTGGCCGAAGGTTGTAACAATGTCATGTTTTATAAAGGGTATATAACTTGAATGTCATTTTTTTTGTGAATGAAACTTGCAGATATAAATGCACTATGTGGTCATAGCATAGGATGTAAAGCTAAAACAGCATCCATTGTGGGTTGAATTCCTCACGACTTATTTTCTATATCAAAAAAACCTTAAGTAGTTTGTGGTAGCGGACACGTGTAGGTTGATTGCCTGAAACTATTAGATGTATAGGTGAAAAAAAATCTCTGAGTAAAAGAGTAAACTTGTTTGGTTTCATGCATTTTTGTGATGACAGTTGCTTTTGGTAGCACACCAACAAAAGCAGTGAAGAAGGACACTGCTAGCCAGCAAACAGGGATACAAACAGTAACTTGTATTAAATATTCTGTGAGACTGTGTGTGTCTGTGTTTGCCATGGCCGCTGCTTGCTGCAGGCAGATGGAGGGGTTAGCACAGTTTTGTTAGAGAGAAACTTTCAGACCCTCTCACTGTTACTGCAAATGCTGCATAGACATGTTTTGCTTCTGGGGACTTTATTCCTTTAAAACAAAGACCACACTTGCTTACCTGGGTATCCAGGTTGAGGTCTTTATTATTACAGTATGACCTAGTTACTACTCAGCTTTCACGAGTGTGCTTTACTAAGTTTTTAGGTACTTCATTTTGAGAATAGCAGAACCTGTGTGTGTGTGTGTGTGTGTGTGTGTGTGTGTGTGTGTGTGTGTGTGTGTGTGTGTGTGTGTGTGTGTGTGTGTGTGGTGACTGGACAAAAGAGCGATCAGAGGAGAGTTTAGCAATTAAGATATTAAATAGAGGCACAATAGAGTTTACCATTTGTGTGCTAATTAACGCTGCAGCTCCTTAAAGCAGTCAAACCAACCTTTGGTATAATACGACACAAATGATGGAGGCATCTTTAATGTAGACAGACTGCAGCATGTAAAGAGACCTGTGATGGTGTACCATCAGTATGTCTGTGAACAAGTGTCTATCAGAATTTGAAAATCGAGAACCCAGTCTCACTCCTAAGTCGTCGAAATCCAGCGCTTGGGCAGTGACTTGTGGCATCAGACACTAAT